TTTTACATAGAGTACATTTGGTTTTGTTGAGTGAAATGACATCCAGCCCAAACCATACTTTTGATGAATTATAGGGCTTTGCTTCACGCCCTTCTGATAGTGTATTATTAGTATGGGTAAAAATATCTGTGTAAAAAATATAGCAAACGAGCTCTTGGGTATGGCTATAGTATGTGCATTGTGCAAAACCAAATTGAACCTGGTGTTAGATTTGCCCTAAGACAGTTTGAAAGATCGTGTGACAATATCCAAGGACTGGAAAAAATTTTTCACAGCATTTTTTCTTTTTTTTTCTTTTGTTTTTTTTACCAACTTAACATATATTCTTTATATTCTTTATGTTTTCGAATAGTTTTTTTATTAACAATACATGAACATTGTTATTGGGGTAACCTGTTATGTTCATAAATAAATAAGTTGGCACTGCGCATGCGCAAAACCAAATTTTGAAAATGGCGTTACATTTGCTTTTATTCCAAGTGCATACGTAGGTATCAAATGTAATTTAAATACATTTCTAAATTTAAAAAAGTTTGCAATTCGGTTCATATATGGCCGAGATACCAAAAGAGCACTATGCATTTTGAATCGATTAGGCTCAACTTTTGCCATTGCGTATTATATTGCTAAAGCTATGCCCATATTGAATTTCATGCAATTCACTTCATAACTCACGTAGATGTCAAAAGGGCCTTCCTTATTATACTCGCAAGGAGCTCGATAATATGTGAATTGCACTAATAATAAAAATAAAAATAAGAACATCGTTTTTTTCATTTCCCATTTTCGCATATTTCCCTTGCGCTTTGAGCAGAATGGCAAAAAAATAACGACAGTTTCAATTTTTACAACGCTTCGATCATCCCAACCGGAACCCCCAAAAGCACCTGAAATTCTAACAACATGTAGGTCAAGGGTTCGAGTCGTACCTACGCCAGATTCTTTTTTAACTAAAAAGTTTATTAAAAGTTCAAAATTAAGATGTGCGTACATTTTTTTACAAACGCTGAGAAAACAAAAAGAGATACAAAAAAAAGTTATAAAAGATAAATTGTAGAGAATTTAATTTCCTACAAAAAAGTCCGCGATGGCATATATGTATCTTCAACCCTTAATATATGATAAGCAATCAAAGATACTATGAATGCCAACGCAATCAAGATGTGCAACTTTAAATGGTTGATATGGCTAAACGATTAAAGATAGATATATGCCGTCGCGGACTTTTTTATAGTAAATTTAATTGTCTACAATTTTTGTTCTATGAAATTTTTTGTATCCCAATTGGTATCGGCAGCGTTTTCATTTAAAGTGCGCGCGACTAGTATACGTACCAACAAAAGATTACAGTATTGAAATCTTCAGTGCAAACGCAATTCGGAGCATAATATTCGCTCTAAAACCGATTATATTATTATAAAAGTGGGAGAGGTACACCTTACCTCTCCTGCGATTGTCACGGATCCACAAGTTCCCATTAGGCTAGACTTCTTCCTAATTTTATATTCAAAGGTTCATAATTATATTGTAGATCCCTAAGTGCGGGAGATTGTTATGTCCGTATAATAACGAGTTACAAGAATGTATGTGTATTGTTATGATTACTACAATCTATTACCTGCAAAGAAACCTACAAAAAGATCCACAAGGCGTTTTTTGCATTTCAAATTATTCCTATGGCAGAGCATGCATTTCTTTCTTCAGTAATTTATTTTTTTAATTAAAGTACCTACCTTTTTTTCCTTACTCTTAGGGGAGTGGAATGTAAATTTTTGGATTGAAGTTTTTTGTTTGCTGTATTTTTCATTTCAATTTGTTACCCAAAGACACTGTTGAGACGCTGGTATCCTGACCAAAGGCTGACCCCAGCAACATTTTATACGAGTATTAATGTTTGTATAATTTGTTCTATAGACTATCTCAAAGGCGTATAAAAACGCTTAGAGTGATCTTTATGCAAAAATTAACCTACATTGAAGACGGTGCTGTATAAATATTACTTCAGTTTTCAGTGCAGGTTAGCAACTTAGGCAACATCCGCGATCTACCCATCTAGCGTAATTCGTCAAGGTCTGAAAGACTTACGTCACTTCAAGTGCAAGTGTTTAATTACGCTCTCGTCTCAAGAACAAACCTCTCTAACTGTCTGCATCATTAAAATATGTGCGAAATGTAGGTCACACCATCTATATGTCATTCTTGTTTATAGCAAGTATTTGGCAATGCCTTTTGGTCTGAGAAAGAGACAATTTTTAATAGGTATCTAGGGATATCGGTTCTGGTTTTCGTGTAATTCCTTCAATTAAAAGGTTACCAATAGTACAGGAAACGAAGGTTTTGCCCTGGCAATTTTTTCAAAATGAATCGATTAACTAAGGATCAAAGTCTATGTCATGGCAAAGGGCGCTCTCAGCCTGGGGGTAGTTGTCAGCCCATCTCGGGGGTGGCAATTATTTATTGTAATTTTAACACAGGAATAGATAGAAAAATTAATTCTAAGCAAAAAGTGTTCTATACATTTTTTTTGGAAGTTAATA